GTTCTGTGCTAGGTTGGATTAATTGAGATTTGCTTCGAACTGGTATCAGACCTAAAAATCTTTTCTCGGCAAATTTTTATTCAGTTAAATACGTGTGAGTTATATTATATAAAGTAGTGGTTATTTAAATGTGTGACTTCAAATCCATTATATGTGACGCATTTTTAAGTAAATTTGAAATTTGTTAAGAAATCTTTTCCGAATGATATTAGTTTTTCATTCTAGTTTTAAGTAATCGTAAGGGCTATCCCCAGTAAAATAATTTTTTATGAAGCTTTACTGTTGCTAGTGGATGCATAAGAAAGGTAATAGAAATGCATATTTGCATCTTTTCGCTTACAATTAAGTGTGATATCAATATATACTGGCATCTTTTCGCTTACAATAAACGGAAAGGGATTACCAGTTTGGTGGGCTGCATAAAAATTAGGTTTTATAAGTTAAACTTTTTGGGGATCTTCTCAGAGCTAGATACGCTAATGAGTATAATGCTATTATGTTGCTTCGGATTCGAAAGCTATATAGAACATCATCTTTCAATAAAATTGTGTCTAGCTGTGTAGGATAATTTTAAGTAAAACTGTTTTCACATTTTCTACTGTAATCTTTATTTAAATAAAAATTAAAAGTACTGAAAATTCTGTAAATTTTAGTTCTGTTTTTCTCTTCTGTTAATTATTTCATAAACAATAATTATAATGAAAGATCAAGTTATAAATATTTCGGTTGAAGAATAAATCATTTGTAATATCATCCATTTGTTGTTGTTTTACGTTTACCTTTTGTGGCCCTGTAATTACATTTGGCAGTTGCTTTGACCCTTTACAAATATCATATCAACCCCAACTTTAAGAGCTGATTTCCTTTTTAAAATTCCCAAATGTATTTAGAAAGATTTTTTATTTATCCTTTGACTTGTATGCTGAGAGAAAAATCTATAACTTTTTATTAAAACTGAAGTGTGATTGCATCATAATTGTGTTTATCGGAATAACACACAATTTGCCGAGATCATCTAGAAAAACAGTTTCATTTATTTAATATTGTTCTAGAATAATACGCGTATACATTTATTCTGAAATAATCCAGAATAATACACTTACATTCGAAATTAATTTAAAGTAATACTCTTTATAATACACTTATATTAATTCAGACTGAAAATATTTATTCGGAAAAATACAGGTATATTTATTTGGACTTTTCGTGTTTTATTTCAAGATACTTTGTTTAGATAATTTTATTATCTTTCGCCCAGAACAGCTTTAACAAATCAAACAGATACATGTTCTTGTGAGGTACATATTCGTGGCTGTATATCTTTGAATAATCAATCTTTGATGCCTTGGAAAAACATTGATAATTTATTACAAATAATAACGACGCGCAGCAAAACAAAGAGCTCAGGCAAAATGCGAATATTAAGCAATTCTTCCTTGGCGCCCGGGAAATACTGTAAATTTCAAACCGCTCACAGAGTAAACTCTAAAACTCAGTTCAAGTAACTGTCTTTGAACCCACAGCTGATTAAAAATTGACTCGTCCGAGCTCTCAAAGCCGTATATGGTTATTTATATGTTGGCTTCTAGAAGCTTCTGAAAACTTCGTTCGTATGGCTTTGATAAAACTTTTTCCCACATCTTCAGAAAGTCGCCAGATTGGCAACAAATAAGAAAAAGTGGCTAACAAAGAAGAAAGAATAAAATATGTGACTAACAAATTCAGTTACAAACAAAATAAAGTTTAGAGCAATTAATCTTAAAGGCAACAGATATACAAATAACTAAATAAACAATAACAATGTTACTAGAGTACAATCAAATGAATTTATCTTCAGAAATTTACAGGAATATTAAGGCTTTATATCCGGATATTTTTTCTTTGTAAAACCATCTCCAGAAATTCAAGTAATTTTATATGCGAGTACACTGTACATGTGGGCTAATACGTAACAGCCAAATTACTTCTATAACCAAGACTACCATAAACAAAAGACTCACTTGGCCTTTTTAAATAGTTTTAATTAACAGAACACATTTAAGATAAAACATTACAATTAAAGGCGTTATAATTACACATTTAAATTACAAACTAAATCTCAGGGAACAACATCTCGGGGAAACAGCATGCTTAGTTCATGACTCCCATACATCGACTGAAGGCTATTATCTTTTTTTGGCCGGTGTTTCTTCCGGCGGCCGCTAGGTGGCACTCGTTGAGCCGTGGGGTTACACTTCTCTAGTTTCTTTGAAGAAAATAAGCCAGTGCTTATACAAATTTGAATTTATGTGAATGATATTCGAGAATGTCACAATACTTTATATCAGTGGCTTCCAAAATGTGGGTCGTGATGCGGGTCGGGAGACAGTCTTTGGGACGCAAAGAAGTACTTTTTTTCATTATGTACGATATTTAATATAAGATATATAAGATATTTAATAAGATATTTTTTATTAAGTACCTTGAATCATTCACTAATTTATAAATATTGTAGCGTTATATTTCTTTCTCTGTTTTGACATCAGTTACGTCATTTTCTTCCTTCACATTCATACGGGGTTCGTAGATTTGAGTTTATAACACACCTTGATGAAGTATCGAAACACCTTTATTTACCATTTAATCAGGGCAGCTCCAAAACACTTTAACATCGTCGACGATCTACTATACATCGTGGTACAATCACGAACAGCCTCTGGCTACATGCTATCACGGAGATAGCTCCTGCAAAGCTCCGACTCTCTCAGTCGTTCGACTACACGTATCTCGAGACTCTCCCTCTACAAACTCGCGATGCACTCGACGCACCCAGAGCACAGCTCCGACTCTCGTTCAATCGTTCGTGAGCTAACACACTCTCCTCGCGATGCCAACTGCGATACCTCAGAGACTCTTCGATCACTCGACGACCCACTCGGCTTCGCTGCCCGCTGTCACTCGATCGCTCCGTACGAGCTGACTACTCGAAAGTAACTGCATTCAGACGAGGCACACTCACTCGATGAGAACGCACACTAACTGGACTGCGGCCAGCAGGGCTATATGCTTTCGCTTTGTGTTCGAGAACATTATGGGCTAAACCGGTAAGAATTCATTCCAGAAGGTTCTCCATTCGTGCGTGGCATATCGCCGATTTGGTCGCCAAATGGGCGATTTCTCGCCAAATGTGGCAACCCAACCTTTCCTTGCCATTTTTTGGCAACCCTAAAACTGCTTTGCGGGGAAGACATCTTACCGCGCCTGTACATTTCGAAACAATATCAATCAATTGTTAACAGTTAGATGTACTTATCGATTACTATATTATTTGCTTTAAAGAATTGTCATTTTTCCCGTTTCTTCGAAAGCCGTTTTACACGTAGTGTCGTAATAAATTGCAACTATACGCATGTTGGTCTCCATGCAAAGTTTAGAAAACACTGCTAATTTTTCTAATGTAGCATTGCGAAAAAATTATTTAGATCTTTAATACTGAGGTTAATTACAGCAAATCTGAAGTTGTATGTCTGCATGCTATTAATCCACTATTTAAAACATATCTTAATTTTATGCATGTAATGCTGATAATTTACTATGAATAATGGATAATCCTAAAAACTAGATTTATATATTTATTAATTGCACTCATGCAATACAAATGAGTGATGCCACTAAATTTCTTTATTCTTTCTTTTCATAAATAGAAAAAAAATCCATTAGTTGGCTAGGGGGCGGTATAAGCCTAGTGTGTATACACGCAGGTGTGGGTGTGTTATGCATCCACGCACTCACATACGACATACGTAATATTTGTGCCTATCAGTACTATGTCACAGAAAGTCGTTGTTATGTTGATGGACTCTTTGGCATTCACCAAGCGTCGGCTGGGAATTGTGGGATATATCTGCAGACCAGCGTATGCCAGAATATATTCTAACAGGGCGAAAATAGTGAATGGAATACCAGATTACTTTTTTTAGCCTCCTCTTGATGTCTCGTTCCTGGCTGAATCACGCGATAGTTCGAATACGGCTACTCGTCGATTCTTTGGGGAATGGGAAGAATATCCTTTCGTGGATCAGCGAAGCATATTTGGTATTATTTGCCTAAATGTGGAAAACATTTTTTTTTCGTATTGGTTGTTGCAGAGGAAAATTCTTAGTCCAGAATGTAAATTTGAAAGTAATGATTTGCCCTGGATTGTTTAAGGTAAGATTAGGAGATCTGTTATCGATTTCTGCTGTTCTCTTTTCGCGAACTTAGATATTGTTGAGAAACATTTACAGAAAATTGGCAGTTGTATCAACGATGTACTGCTGGTACCGATTTTAGTAATAAAATCGTAATTTCGAATTTAATAGTAAATAGTTTTATAAGCTTCTATTCAGCGCGCTTCTGACGTTTGTTGATGTGTCAAAACTTTAAAATCGATTTTTAAACTATTTCCTGATAAGCTATCGAGCTCAAATTTTGAACACACACTCTTTGTAAATGACAATATAGTGTGGTAAAAGAATATTTTTCAAAACCGTTTTAGATTTATCTTTATCTAAGGTTGTATCTACATTTAACGAACAATCTAAAAATCTCAGTATGCAACAGAAACAAAATATTTCAAATGAAATTCAGTGAATGTTAAAAGTAATTTCTGATTTTTGGTGAAATTTCGGAAGTGCTTGATTTTTTTGGACGTCAAAAATATAAAAAGTTATTAATTCTAAAATTTTTTAACGTTAAAAAAAATGTCTGATCTGGACAGCACATGATTTCCCTATGCGGACTGTTAAATTATACACATTTTTCGTTTCGCTTCCTCAAATTTCATTATAGATATATTTCTCATTCAATCAATTCACTTCTCACTTTGTGAAAAGGCAAAAATACAGGGTGATTCAAAATTAATATAACGATTACAAAGAGCTATAACTACAGTGTGTCTCAAAAGCTCGTTGGCACACTTAACATGCTTGTCTGCCATACCAACAAGATGTACATAAAAACTTGTGACCGAAAATGCAGATGGTGACCGCTAGAGGGCAAAGTTCGCAGGCGGAGAGGGGGAGAAAGAAAATAAGTCCAAAGAGGTGTTAATAGCTTTAATAAAATTAACTTTTGTTAAAGAACACGGTTAAATCACAGAAAGTGTTCAAAATTCCATCCTTTCGCCACAGTGCATACTTTATATGTCGACGATTGGATTTATGGACTCCCCGCTTCCACAATCCTGGCGACGAGATTCCACGGTCGTCTCGTATACCATAGACTTCATGTATTCCTGCGGGTAGAAATTCAAGGAAGTCAGGTCGATGGATTGTGGTGGTCATGCGACTGGTTCGCAGCATTATACAAGTAATGCGTATTGGCTGATTCTGAGTTAGTAAACCGATTCATCCTTCGCCTACAGCGTACTCGCCTGGAATGATCCCGCTTTCCATTCTTCCATAACTCTGCGAACATTATCCTCTAGCTGTGGCCGTTCGTATTTTCGGACACTTTCTATGTAAATCTTGTTTGTTATGGTATGACAATTCAGTATCTTAAGATTGGCAACGACCTTTTGAGAAACCCTGTATTTAATTGAGTGGAATTTATGGATAAGAATTACGCAGAATATAAAAGGAAGTTCAAAATTTTGTTTACATACTTTAAAAGTGTTCTGTGTGTCTTCCCTTGGCAACAAGGACAAAATCTAAGCCGGAGTTCGTTTCACGCTATACGTTGTGAAGAATATCTGGAGTCACCAACGCAAGCGCATTAGAAATGCGCATTTTGAGTTTTAGAATTGTTTTCGTCAAAGGAAGCATATATACAAGGTTCTTTCTCTGGGGATATGTTTGAGTTTCTATGAGGTTAATAACTTAGAAATGAAATGGGTTTTTATGAGGTTAATAACTTAGAAATGAAATTGTATATATTCTGTTTGAAAAATGCAGATTATTTAGACTGCAAATCTTACATACTGTTCGCTTATTTGTATTTTCTTGAAATTTGTATAATTAATATTGATACTGGTTAACGTATCGTTCATTCCCGTGAAACGTTCAATGAAAGGGAGTTTTATTTTTCAGTAATAAATCTGCAAAAACATAGAAATGTTTTTTTTTCACTAGATGTTATAATTAACTCAAGTTTGACTAATATTCTTGAAATAAACAAAAACTCTGTGTTCTTCCATTTAATGTATGGCTTCCTTTCAAAATTCCTCACTCAGCCTTTTTTTGTTTACCCCTCCTTAGCCGCATCATATTTTGTTTTCACTTCATTACTTTAATAGTTAAATAGTTAATACTACTTTTACGCGCCCGGAAAGTGTAATGACTCAGGAGGGAAGATGAAATAAAAAAATATTTTTACATTAAAGAATAAAAGTAAATAACGCAAAGATACGCGTCTCAAACTTGACGTTCGATAAAGTTGAGGGGAAAAGTTGCTGAACGGCAGGCGAAGAAAAATTGTTTGTTTCTGGACGCCGTAAGAGTTAGATTGAAAAGTTTTTTTGAGTCGCGTACTTATCACCTGAAGCGTGAGAAAACAAAAATTTTCATTACGTGAAATGTAAGACATTTGCAGCTGTAAGTTTAAAAATTGTCTTTTCTTTTCTTGTTTATTCTCCCTTTTTGTCTCAAATTCTTTCTCTGAAAAGTAAAACTGATTTTTATCAGCACCTGAAAAAGATGCTATTCTTTTCACCTTGTGAAGGAAT